TTACCTGGGTCCCATCGCATGTAAGGGCATATGCAACAGCTCCAATAAAATCTGGATATGTCTTATTACATGCATGGCTACCAGGGCAGTCCACCTTGAACCAGTCCTTAACAACACAGTTCAAGAGTTCATCCTGGCTTTCCGCAGATACATCGCTCGTAGAGGCACCCCCGACGTAATTTACAGCGACAATTCCACCACGTTCCATGCAGCTGACGATGCGCTTGCCAATGTTATATACTCTCCTAGTTCATGGCAACACATCGCAGAATACAGCACGAAACAAAAGATCTGCGTGGAGATTCATAACTCCGCTGTCACCTTGGAAGGGGGGCTTCTACGAACGCATGGTGCAACTATTCAAGTCCTCCCTTAAAAAGTCCGTAGGCCGTTCAATTGTCCCCCTTGAGCAACTGCAGACCACTGGTCGTGGAGATAGAGGCCATCATAAACTCTCGTCCTATAACACCATTCCGAGAAAGCAGCGCTTTCGTCCACGCTCTCAGGCCAATTGATTTCATCTCCCCCGAAGTCGACCTTCAAATACCACCTTCCGACCACCTACAAGATGAATTTGTAGTCAACGCGCATAAGCTCACAGATTGGTACAGAGAATCCCTCAGAGTCCTGAATAAATTCTGGGAGCTATGGCATTGCGATTACCTCGCGACGCTGCGAGAGCGTCATCAACTACGTTTGCGCCAGCCGAAGTACACTATTGCACCGCCTCGCGTAAACGATGTGGTCATCGTCGCAGATGACAAATTACCACGCAGCCATTGGCCATTAGGTCTTATTACAAAAATTAATCTTAGCTCAGATGGAAACGCGCGCTCCGCAGAAGTACGCATGACCAATGGCAAAACTCTGTGCCGCTCACTAGCGCACCTCTACCCATTAGAAATACGGGGAAAAGCCGAGAGTGACGACAATAATCCCATACCGACAAGCGAGAATGCAGAACCAACATCCACGCGCAGGATTCAGCCAGCCAGGGTAGCCAAAACTAATCACAAATTTATCAACAAAAATATTCTGTCATGAAGCGTTACAAACAAAAGAAATCAAAGTGTATCCCACCTAGGTGCGTGCCAAGCGAAGACCAAGGTATTGTTCAGAGTTTTCGAACCATCAGGCATTTTTCCACCTAGTCTGTTTGAGGAGTACGAACATTTTGCACATCAGCCTCATGCGCAATTCTTTACGAATCAAGTATCGATCCTTACAATCATTGATAGCCTCAATTAGTTGTGGTTTGCTCAATCGACACTGCTGAAGATTTTTGAATACTCGATTGCTGAGCATACCTTTGTTTCGACAAATCGGGAAACAAAATATAGAGGGAGATTGAGTCGATCAAAACATGTATGAGCTCCGGGGAACTAGCCCAAATCACCCCATTTGTTGGCGAACTTCCTAATAACGTGTATCGATTCATTCCGGAATTACAACACAACGTTTTCACTACATTTCATTCATTTTCCTCATTTTTATATGCATTTTCACTCATTCTAAAGACAAATGTTCATGCAATTTATCTCAGATACGCAGATGCCAGTCAATTCGCACCATCTATGTCGACTTCGTACGCCGTGCACATCTCTGTGCAACCCCAGGGGAAAAAGCGGAAGGAGACCGCAAAATTTTTTACGAACCCAGGGAACTCCACGTGCCCATTTTTGCTATGACCACCGGGATTCTTTCGCAATGTGGTGAGGCAAAAAGTCTCCTCCTCACTCAAACCTACACCCTGAGGAGTGTGTAAAAAGATCACTCCACTCAAAATTGACCCTCCATCTTTCGCACTTCTCATCACGTATTCGTCGCACTCGCCAAGCCACTACCTCACAAGCCGTCGCAGAAGTCACTTCAACTATCGTCGCAGAAGTCATATTGTTTATTCATCACAGAAGTCGTTCCACATCTTCATTAACAGATCTCTAATCGTTCGTGTTGTATTTGTTTTGTTTGAGTTTCACTCATTGTAATGAGGAAAGTCTGGGCCCCCGTCAGACGCAAAAAAAAACCTACGGACCCGAGCACGCACGTGGAAGCCCATAATCACGTGTCAACCTACGCCCCTCGGGTAGGCGTCTCGCCGGTTAACTTGCTTGTATTTTCTAGGTAAGGGAGACATTTGCATTTCTGCGTTATGCTGCCATTCTTATTCGCGGGCCCCAGTGTCGTGATCGCACGACCTCTTCGCTTCGATGTTTGCCAGTAGATCATCAAAACTGGGTCCCGACGCGCACCGCCACCTGGCTGACTATTCGACGTTACGACAACAGCCTTGCTGGCCCAAAAACAGGGAACTTTCGACTCTGCTCTTTGCCGGAACGTGGCCGCCGACCCCGCCATTGTGCTATGTTTTGTGGTTGTATATGTCATATGGTGTGATTCTCGCAGCTGCCTCATATATCTCGGATGGTAACTTCGCAGGAGCCGATTTTATCTATTACGACGTCATGGGAGTTTCGACCACCGGGATTCGCAGGTAACCCCGCGATAGCGGCCCAGATCCGCCCGTTATGGCACAGGCCCACGGCGCGCGGACTGAGGTACGGTCCGGGGGATGCTATGTCTCCAGTCCCCTAGTAAGGCAAGGGTCCGTCCCTTAGGATACGTTAGGTCTGATTTCTCACTCAGAATTGTTGTTTGAGCATAAATGCTCTTAGTTAGTCAGTGTTCTGTTAGAATTACGCAATGGTTCTTTTTCCACTTACTTCTTTGTCATTCACAACATTCAATACGTAAAAGATCAGGAGATTAATAGTAGGATAAGTTCATTATTTCCGCTGGTTCCTATGCGCAGAATTCTAACTCTATGAGTCGGGAATAGGAGGTTACCTTGGGCCAACTAGGACCGCTATATTCCGCATGGCAGGTAGAACGGCCGTAGGCCCAAGCGGTTTTCACAGGATCACTGTAGATTGACATCAGTTTTTTCCCGCTCTGTGCGCTTGATCATAACCGAGTTACCAATCTCTTAATTGCGAATACTCTGCCTTTTGCAGCCGGATCTCCCTTACTTGAATTGCTCCTTTTCACCGATTTTCCCTAATCTTTTGGAAGCTAACTGAAAGTTTTTCTTCGTCGGCACCATCCATTTAGGAGCGCCCATTGGGACGTAATACCGCTAGGCTCGTTCCACCCACATTATCCGTTATCGGACATGCTAATGGTTCTTGAGGTAGTACCGAATTCACGGCAAACATACTCTGCGGTTTTCACATGGTGCATCGTGCTGGGGCTGAACACGCGGTAACGTGTGTCCAGCCTTAGCGATCGAACCCCTTCGCACCACGAGCCCGTAGCCCCCTTCCCCTGGCGCGCACATGGATTTGTTTGGTTGGGTCCGAGCACCCTCGGAACGCACACGCACGAAGTAACAATTAGGTCATACCTTCACCACCCTAGTGCCCGTACGGGTGTTTGACGCTAGAGTGGCACTAGTAGCCATACAACGCACGTGGCAGCCGCGGCTAGGGAACGGAAAGGTCTGCCCTCTGTAACATGGGAAAGTAATACGATCGGGCACTGCGGGTAACGCCAGGCAAAATTTGCATGGAGGGAACCCGAGGAAGGGAGTAACCACCCTCATGTAATCTGGTTAGTGACGGTCCGAAGCAGCTAGCTAGGCTAGACTGCCCAGTGGCACCGTTCGTAACTTTGCATCGATACAGATTGTTTCTTTGGAGCGTGCAGTCCGTGTGGACTCGAGAATCACCTGAATAGTTCCCCGCAATCGTCAGGGCAAAAGGCAAAAAATAACACCGCAATACTAACACCGAATTGTGCAAAGCATATGTTGAAGTCCATAACGTCGCACTTGTCATTTTGAACTTTATCATACCTCCTCTCGTTGTGATGATTATCGCAAGGCCAAAGAAGGAAAAAAAAACCAAACAGTTCGGGGATGCATATCGACGAAGTCAACCCCGTTCCCCCGACGTTTGCCTCAAGGCATCCAAAAAGCGAAACGACGGACTATCCTCAACCCATCTGATCAATAGGTACTCACCTCTTCTAAAAGAATTCACAGGACGCAATAGCACGTTTTACGCCCGTAGCACGTGCAGATCGTCCCATCCCATCCCTCTGGATCGATACGCATCGATTCTTTTCGCAGACCCGCAGAATCAATCATACGCGCTTTCTTCGGACATGGCGCAGACTAGTGAAATAGTTAACTATGGCCCAAAGTCGCAATTCAACTACGCGCGCAGGTCGGACGCGGCAGTGGACCTACTTACGGACATGCTTGTAACTAGGATCAATACTAACGCGCAGAGTCGACGCGCAACTTATACGACTAATGATACAGCGATTAGCATATAATCATTTCTACATTTACCTCGTCGTCTTCACATACGGTTAAACTGCATCTCCTCTATTCTCGCGAATATTCGTATGTTCCTCCATCGACCCTTCACAACCAGAAAGAGAATCGCACAAAACGATTTGATTTACTTCCCTCCTCTTTCGACGGATGGGGGTAAATTAGCGGCAAAAGTAAGCGAGTCTGGATCGATTCAGTTTAAGTTTGACTGATGCAAAATTGAACTATGATGTCCGCAGATGCCACATCTATCCACTGTAGAAGGAACATTCGAATAGCGCAAATAACGATTTACTGTTGAGATTTCAACATATTGCGTCACCCGGAGTACGCAGCCAATTCGGCCTGACCATCAAACATTCAAAGTTGATGCGTCCCCCGGTTGATACCATCGCGATCCATTCACTCGCAGTGTGGAAGGCATTAGCTTTACGCCACAAAATGCTTAAGCCCTCAAGTGTCCTATATGTGAATAGGGCCCAACTCATGTTTGCGAATAAGAAATAACAAGTTTTTTTCTCATTTTCGAATTAGAAATAACAACGCGTTCGATTTCATTATGAACTAACGCACCGTCACTCCGATTCCTTCCAACTGAGTTTAGTGAGGTTTAGTGAGTCCAACTAGGAAACCCAGTCTGTTTTGGGCAAAGCCCTATTTCTTCAAAGTATTCGCGATTAGACGTCGCAGAGAAAACACGAATGTTTGACTTCGGTTAGTGCGAAACGTTCGAGTTGTTTATAGTGACATCAATCCATCTCGGCCTTTGATTTCTAAAATGGTCAACGGGCCAAGTAAACATCCACTACGCCGACCCAACTGAATGTTGACGCGCACCAATTCGGAAACCGTACTAGTTGAAGAATGACTTTTTTCTTGTCAATCTTCAGTTCCCATTTCCATATGGCGTTTGAAACTTACACCTATGATCGCTTACTGATCAGTTGGATAGACGTTGAGTGAAAAAAGAGTGAGACCAAGAGAACGAGAAAAGCATTCTCAATATATGAATCACTGAGAATCGTTTTTCATTGAAAAACGATTTGTGTTGAAACGAGAAACGACAAACTAAGCGAATTTTGTTCGATTGTGCCGTAACCTACCTAAGTCCAATTACTTTTCATGATGACTGTGGTACAGTTCGAAAAGAACATTAGAACATTGACAGCAGTCTATCGCTGGTGTACTCAGACACCCTTCTCTTACATTCAAGCTGTCGTTACACCTTTGCCCATACCCCATGGCTGCTAAAGTGATCAAAAATTGTAGTCAGTTTCGAAAAGCAAGGATAACGTGAAGGAAAATCGGCCGAATGTAGTAAACTCACAAGAAGCTGTAAGATAAAGAAGCATACACTGCTGTCAATGTCTCACATATGCAGAAAGGCAGAAACTAACACTGCAACACTAATATCAAATTGTGCAAACCACATGTACTAATCCATAACATCCTACTTGTCATTTTGAACTATATCACACCTCCTTTCGTTGTGATTATTATCGTAAGGCCAACGTCGCTTATCCGCAAATACCGTTCAGCCGCGAGGGGCTCATGGCCGGAGCCGCCTCACGGAATGACACATACTCACTCTCCCTTTTTAGATTTGGGTTAGGCAGTTACCACCTCCTGCCTCAGCGACTATTCATGTCGACTATCAGTGTATGTAAGGCCAACTTAACAAAAGCGCATTCAGCGCTTGAAGCAACTAAAGGTAAGATTCCACAGAATCTTATCGACCCATTTAACAGTAAAACAATACCGCCCGCAGACGAGCTCCAGCGTCTTGACGAACGTCAAGATGCCATACGGACACACTTGTCGAACATGCGCGCAGCGTTACGCACGGTACGAGAAAGACATCAAGCATTTCTAGATTTCATAAACAAATCTACTGATCCAGAAAACGACAACGCAGCCTACATGGACTACATGCAACAGTCCAAAATCGAGGACGCAACTGTTGCTGCCGACAATCTCATACACGTACTCCATACTAATCTAGAAGAGGCTTGCGCACGCCTTGAAAGATTGCGGTCATCAATCGCACCCAATCAACAACAAGAACACGATCGAAGCCAGCACGAATTGGACGTGGAGACAACTCCTCAAAGCAGGGACTATCAAAGAACCCAGGCGCACTACCCTCAGACGACCTTGAGGGACACCACCAATAATACATCAGACAACCACTATACCTCATTAGGTAATCAGCACGCAGCAAACCAGCCTACGATTCAGCTGGGCAAGCTAACCCTCGAACCTTTCACAGGAGATATCACGCAGTTTCAGCGTTTTTGGCGCGCATTCGAAGTCGCAGTCCACAACGATTCCTCCATCAGCGCAACTTACAAGTTCCTCTACCTGCAAAGCTTGCTTAAAGGGGAAGCGCAAATTGTGTTGCAAGACATGGACCCAGATGAGTGCAACTATTACGAGCTAGTATGCGCACTCAAAAAAAGGTACGACCGGCCTCACAAACTCGTGCAACACTGCATAAACAATTACAACAGCTACCACCAGCCGGAAATTCGGGAACAGATCTACGCAACACATGGTTTCGCCTGTCAGGCATTCTTCGAGGTCTCCGCAAATTCGAGGATTTTCGCACAGTGCTACCGATACTCGATCTTGTGAGAAGCAAATTCCCCTCGGAGGTACAGCAGAAGCTTACACGATCTAGAATTTCAGTCGGGTGCAGATTTCGACTTACATCAAATCATGCATCATCTGGACAACATCATTGCCTCGAAGGAGAAGTATGAGGACACTACGGCATTGAAAGACAGTTACTCAGTAAACAACACAAGTAGCTGTACTCAACGCCCGAGATCCCGATCACAGTCACCATCACGCGAACTGAACTGCTGTGCATTTTGTGGAGCGCGCACGCATAAAACACGCGACTGCACAGTCAATATACCAGCTGAAGCGCGCACCAATATCGCCAAAGTATTCAATCTTTGTTGGAGATGTCTGAGCCAAGGGCACTCACGTCGCAATTGCCGGTATCCCAGCTTGCAGACGCTGCTCAGGGGAACACCACGAACTCCTGTGCAGATATCAGTCACGCAATGAAAGGCAGCGCCGTAGTCCCCGTCGGCACGACAGCCACAGGTCGCGCAGATACGACTACGAACGCAACAGGGGTGACTATCGTCACCATCAAGGGACAGATATTCATCAAGAAGTCCCTCACAGGAGAGATACAGACGCAGGAGCTACACCGACAGTGAGCGCTCTCGATCTCCACCGAGAGTGAATCGTCGTCGCGACTACAGTCCAAGGGCTCACTCTCCAACAAGGCGCTACACTCGCTTCTCTAGTCGGGTAACATACCATTCACCGCCTACAGAGCACGTGTCCCACAGCCCCGTGAGGGACATACAGACCGGTCGACGCGTTTCTTCCCCACATCCTATTGCCTTTCAACATCAGGCACAAGAATCAGACGTAGAGCTAGAGCAGCTCAATCACTGCTATCAAGCACGCAGGATCAATCACGCAATGTCTAATGCGTCATTAATGCTGGTCAACGCAAGAGCATTCAACCATGACACATCAAAACTTGAAAAAGTGGTATTGTTCCTAGACTCAGGAGCACAAAATAGTTTCATAACAACCCACACTGCACGCCGTCTAGGACTACCAATCCACAACCAAAAAGAGCGCACCTTCATCACCTTTGGAGGTCACGAAACCTCAGAAATGACAGGTCTGGTAGAGGTGAACCTGCTCGACGCTAAGGATCGCATACTCAAAGTCCATCTCACTAGCAAAGACACTATAACATTACCTCAAACTCCTCCGCAACTTTCAAGCGCTGATATCCAAGTTTATCAGAGATAATCGTCTACCGATTCCAGCGTGCGTCACACCCCATCCAATATTGCCGGACATACTCGTTGGCATCGACAACTATTGGGACGTTCTTTCACAGGAACCCCCAGTTTGTCTTCCATCGGGTATGGTACTGACATACACAAGGTTTGGTACCGTCGTGTCGGGCAATTCGGTTTTTCACTCGGGATTCCGAAGAGCCCAAAAACCGACGAGGTACACGTAACTTTCGACGCAGACGATGAAATCGCACGACGATTATGGTCTCTTGATACTCTAGGTATAACAGATAGTAACGATCCTAAAGCTGACAATGAACTCAACGCTCACATCCTAAACAAATTTTATAGTACTTCTAAGCTTATTAACGGCATTCTTTACGTGCAATTTCCTTGGAAAGATTCTCACCCAAAACTTTTGGATAACAAACAACTAGCGTACTGTCGTCTGGTTAGTCAGTATCAACGCCTCCGTAAGACTCCCTCTGTTTGGAAACAGTATATCACTGTATCGAGGAACACTGAAAGCTGGGTTCATAGAGGAAGTAGACGAACACGTCTTCGATAACCATCGCGTATATTATATCCCACACCAGGCAGTACATAAAGAGTCCTCTTCGACAACCAAACTACGCATTGTCTTTGATGCGTCGTCGAAGACCCGGGGTGCTCCCAGTCTTAATGACTGTATACACCAAGGACCCACACTGTTACCAGAAGTTAGCCGGAATACTCCTGCGCACTCCGCTTATATCCGTTTCCTTCTCATCGCAGACGTCGAAAAAGCATTTCCACCAGATTCGCCTTCAGCAATCACAACGCGACGCCACCCGCTTCCTCTGGCTCAAAGAACCCATTAAGTCCTCCTTCGTCGGATAATTTACGAATCTTTCGTTTTACCCGTGTGCCATTCGGTGTGAATGCGTCACCGTTTATGCTCGCTGCTGCTATCCAATACTACTTGCGCCACCTTCGCAGCCCACTTTCCAAGGACATTGAACGCAACACTTACGTAGACAATGTCGCACTCGGTGCTACAACACACGAGGAAGCTATCCAAAAGTATCAAATCGTGAAGTCGGTCTTTAACGATATGCACATGAATCTTCGACAATTCGTGTGCAACTCTAAGATTGTCAATAATTTCATACCCAAGCAGGATCAGATCCCTGCAGGAGAACATACAAAATTACTAGGCATTGGGTGGAATTACCATGACGATACCCTACACATGGCCGTAAAAACACTAGACGTACAAGTGAATTCGAAACGCACAGCGCTTCGTGCCCTAGCGTCAACGTACGACCCACTTGGTTTACTTACTCCATTCGTTTCTAATCTGAAGATGTTTGTTCAAGACCTTTGGGCAAAGCAGATAACATGGGATGACCCGTTGGAAGAAGCTGATCGTCGAAGGTGGTCAGATCTTCTCATCGACCTCAAACACCCGCTTCCACCCAATACCTAGATTCGTCCTCATGAAATCGCAAACGCCCAATCCAGTTGAATTGTGTATATTTGGAGACGCGTCCAAACGCATGTACGCCTGTTGCGCCTATCTCCTCTGTCGAAAAGCACATTCCGCGACATCACGTCTCATTATGGCGAAATCTCGCCTTAATGATCTCAAACCCATAACAATTCCCACGCGCAGAACTGCTTGCAATTTTCATCGGTGTTCGACTAGCGCACTACATTGTCGAACAATTAGACATAACAATATCGGCCATCCATTTCTTTTCCGATTCGCAAATCGCCCTCCACTGGATCCACTCCTCACGCCAATTCAAAACCTTTGTACAAAACAGAGTTAATGCCATTAAGAACACACTAGTCACTTTTCACAACAAAACATTTCCACTAAGTTTTATTACATCGTGTCTGAGGACAATCCAGCGGATTGCGCAACCCGGGGCTATCCACGAAAGACGCAAAAGACCACATCCGGTGGACGGGACCGCCGTTCTTACTTCAGCCCTCCTCCAAATGGCCCAATACGCATTTAGACTTTACCTCGCCGCTTAGCAACGAAAATGACAGCGAGTATGAATACCGCACAGTTCATGTTGCTCAAAATGACAGCTTTACGTCGATACTACCATTTTACCTATACCAACAACTACGACAAGTTGCTCAGTATTACGGCGTACATACTTCGATTCCTACGCAAAATGATCTTTGCTCGTGTCCCCGTGGCAACACAAGGGCACCTCAAGAACTCCTTTCCCCAAATAGCAAATATAAGCACAAAAGGAGTTCTTACAGCCGCAGATATGACCATCGCAGAAATCGTAGTCATCCTCGCACACTACCGCGAGAGCGAACATATTTTACAACGTTTGCCGCTGCAAAAATTCAAAGCTCAAAAGGACGAGAACGGCCTCATTCGTTGTCCCGTTCGCGTAGGTCCATATTCAACGGCGCCAATACTTCTTTTGCCTTCACACAAATTAGCGACAATAGTAGTGTGGCACTACCATAAGCGAATACGTCACTCCGGAGTCTATTCCACGATTGCAGCACTGCGACAAAACTACTTTGTTCCATCGGTTCGCAGTTTAGTCGTGAAAGTTCTCCGCACCTGCGTTGTTTGCAAAAAGCCAATGGGCATGCATACCGTTACCCGGACATGCCCAGCTTACCAAAGGAACGAGTAACGAGATCTAGACCGTTCCAGAATGTAGGAATTGATTATCTGGGTCCCATCGCATGTAAAGGCATATGCAATAGCTC